AAAAGAGAATCTTCAGGGCCATAAGATAAGGCTATCAGCTGATTTCTCAACAGAAGCACTATAGGCCAGCAGGGAATGGCATGAAGTATTCAAAGTAATGAGAAGAAATAATCTAAAATCAAGACTATTCTATCCAGAAAGGTTATCATTCAAAATAGATGGAGAAATAAAGAGAATTTCAGACAAAAAAAAAAAAGGCTAAAGGAGTTTATTATCACCAAACCAGCACAGTAGGAAATGTTAAAAGCACTACTGTAATAAGAAGAAACATATATAAAGAGAAACATAGGCATAAAGAATAAAAATGGCAATGAATAAGTATCTATCAATAATAACTTTAAATGTAAATGGATTAGATGCTCCAATCAAAAGGAGACATAGATCAATAGATAGATCAATAGATAAGAAAATATGACTGACATATATGCTATCTCAAAAGACTCTCAGGATAAAATGAAGGGATGGAAAAAATATTCCATGCAGATGGGAAAGAAAAAAAAAGAAGTAGCAAGGAGTAGCAATACTTATATCTGAAAAATGGAATTTAAAGCAATAGCATTAACAATACACAAAAATGTCCATTACAAAATATTAAAGGGATCAAGAAATAATAACCCTAGTAAACATTTATGCACCCAATATAGGATCACCTAAAAAAAAAAAAATATATATATATATATATATATATATATATATATATATATATATATCTATCTATCTATCTCTTGGAGAACTTTAGGAGAGAGATCACAACAATACAGTCATAATAGGGGATTTTAACACTCCACTGACATCACTGGCTAGATCTTTCAGACAAAGAAACACACAAGGAAACAGTGACCTTAAAAAACATCAGATGGATTTAACTGACATTTACAGAACATTCTACCCCAAACAGAAGAATGTTCATTCTTCTCAAGTGCATATGGGTCATTCTTAAAGACGGACCACATGTTAGGACACAAAATAAGTCTCTACAAGTTCAAGAGAACTGAAATCATATCAAACATCTTCTTGAATCACAGTGGCATGAAAATAGAAATCAACAACAATACAAAACACTAAAAAACATTCAAACACATGAAGACTAAATAGTATGTTTTTAAACAATAAATGGGTTACCAATGAAATAAAAAAGAAATAAAAAAAAAAAACTTCCTGGAAATAAATGAATTTAAACACCCAACAACCCAAAATCTATGGGACACAGCAAAGGCAGTTCTGAGAGCGGAGTTCATAGTATTATAGGCCTACCTCAATAAACAAGAAAAAGCTCTAATAAACTATCTAACACTACAACTAAGAGAAAGAATTAGAGACTAATTAAAAAAAATACAAAAGATCAATGAAACCATGAACTGGTTCTTTCAAAAAATAAACAACATTGAAAAAGCTTTAACCAGACTCATCAAGAAACAAAGAGAGATGACCCAAATAAATAAAATCAGAAATGAAAGTGAAGCAATCACTGACATCACAGACATACAAAGGATTGCTAGAAAATACTATGAATAACTATATGCCAACAAATTGGACAATGTGTATGAAATGGACAAATTTCTAGAAAAATACAGTCACTCAAAACTGAATCAGGAAGAATCAGAAAACCTGAATAGGCCAATAACAACTGATGAAACAGAAGCAGTAATCAAAAACTCCCAGCAAACAAAAGCCTGGTCCAGCATTCTTCACAGGGGAGTTTTACCAAACATTCAAAGAACTATCACTTATACTCCTCAAACTATTCCATAAAGTCCAAGAGGAAGGAACATTTCCAAGCTCTTTTTATGAAGCCAGCATTACTCTAATCCCAAAACCAGATAAAGACACTACAAAGAAAGAGAATTATAGGCCAATACCCCAATGAACATAGATCCTAAAATTCTCAACAAAATATTAGCAAATTAAATCCAGCAATATATTAAAAAGATCATACACCTTGACCAAGAGAGATTAATTCCAGGGATGCAAGCCTGTACAATATTCACAAATCATTAAATGTGATACAATACATAAACAAGTTGAAAGACAAAAATCACATGATCAAATCAATAGACACAGAAAAAGCATTTGACAAAATCCAACACCCATTTTTGATAAAAACTCTGAGCAAAGTTGGAATAGAGGCTTCATACTTCAACATTATAAAGTCCATATATGACAAATCAGCAATCCATACATGAATATTATACTCAATGGGCAAAAACTAAAAGCATTCCTTCTAAGAATAGGAATAAGACAGGGATGTCCACTTTTACCACTCTTATTCAACACAGTACTGGAAGTCCTAGCCATGGTGATCAAATAAGAAGAAATAAAAAGGCATTCATATTGGAAAGGAGGAATTAAAACTGTCATTATTTGCAGATGACATGATATTGTACATAGAAAAACCCTTAAGACTCCACCAAAAAAAAACCTACTAGACTTAATAAATGAATTTAGCAATATATAATAGCAGGATACAAAATCAACACCCAAAAATCAATGGCTTTTTTATTCACCAATAATGAATTTTCTGAAATAGAAACCAAACAAACAATCCCACTTACCATTTGAACAAAAAAATTAAGATACTTAGGAATAAACTTAACCTGTACTCAGAAAACTTATAGGATGTTGAAAAAAGGGATATAAGAAGATATAAACAAGTGGAAGAATATACTGTGTTCATAGACTGGTAGAATCAAAATCATTAAAATGTCCATATTACCTCAAATCAATCTATAGATTCAATGCAATCCCTATTAAAATACCAATAGCTATTTCACAGAGCTAGGACAAATACTTCAAAAACTTATATGGGATCAAAAAAGACTTCGAATAGCTACAGCAATCTTGAGAAAGAGCAAAGTTGGAGGAATCACAATACAGATTTCAAGTTATATTATAAAGCTACTGTATTCAAAACAGCATGGTACTGGCACAAGAACAGGCATATAGATCAATGGAACAGAACAGAGAACCCAGAAATCAACCCAACCAATTATGCTCAATTAATATTTGACAAGAGGGTAAAGACAGTCTCTTCTATAAATGATGTTGGGAAAACTGGACAGGTACAGGCGACATACACAATACACAAGAATAAACTCAAAATGGATTAAAGACTTAAATGTAAGTTGGGAAACCATAAAAATCCTAGAAGAAAATATAGACAACAAAATATCAGAAATCTCATGTAGCAGAATTTTCACACATACATCTAATTGGGCAAGAGAAACAAAGGAAAAAATAAACAAATAGGACTACATCAAACTAAAACGCTTCTGCACAGCAAAAGAAAGCTGCCTCAAATTTAAAAGAGAACACACTGCCTGGGAGAACATTTTTTGCCAACAATACATCTGGTAAGAGGTTAATCTAAAACAAACAAACAAACAAACCCACACCCCAGACATATATATAAAAGCAACAAAAGGAAAACCAACAATCAAAATGTGCCAGAGGACCTAAATAAACACCTCTCTAAAGAGAACATACAAATGTCCTGGAGACATATGAATAAGTGCTCAACATCACTAATCATCAGAGAGTTGCAAATTAAAACAGCAATGAGTACCATCTCACACCTGCCATAATGGCTACCATCAATAAATCAACAAACAAGTGCTGGCAAGGATGTGGAGAACAAGGAACCCTAGTCCACTGCTGGTAGGAATGCAGACAGGTACAACCACTATAGAAAACAATGTGGAGTTTCCTTTAAAAAATTAAACATGGAACTGCCATTTGACCCAGTGATCTCACTGCTAACAGTATATCCTAAGAATCCCAAATACCATCAGAAAGAATATATTCAAAAGCAAAAAAAAAAAAAGACAACTATAAGTCATTCCAAAACTGCTCTAGCCCTCCCGCCCTCCTCCCACACCCTCTCTGATTTTCCTTCCCAAGTCCCACCAGGTTCCTGGAGTCCCTAAAGGACCTGGTCTGGAATCCCTCAGCATCTGGAATCCTGGGCTGGTGTGCAGTTAGGGCTCCCAGAGACTCGCTCGCACATCAACAGCCACCACTGGCCTCCGATCTCATGGGCCATTTCAAAAGCACCACCTGCCATCACCAAAGAAACCCCTCACCCGGTTCTCTTCCGGTCTCTAATGGAAAGTGACCCGAGGCTGGCACAGGGGTACGAGAATGCAACTCCCACCAGCCAACTACTCATGCAGACGGAAAAGGCAGGCCCAGGTCACAGCCAAGGTCGCTGAGATCCAGGGTGCCCTCTCCACGGGCCAGAGGAACGATCTGTGGGGAGTTAGGCAGAGGCTCAAAGAATTCTGCTTGGAGAGCACCCTCTGCTCTGTGCACCATGTTCAAGTGCTAGGAACCTGTCACTTCCAGCAGAACTGAGCAGCAGAGAGAGAAGTACCCACCTCACCATGTGGTACTAGGGAGCCGTTGCCCGTCTAGGGATTCTGGAAATGTGAAGTAAGTACCGTTTTCCAGGAAAGGACCCATTGTAAGAAGTCAGGTTACACCCATGTGTGGCCAGGCAGAACCCTGAAATTGCAAGGAACCACAAACTCAGACTACTCAAGTCTCCACTTGTATAAAATTAGGATGATGGTAATGCCGAGTAGTCTGCTCAGCGGCTGTGAGACTCAAATGAGAAAAAGCTTTTAAACTAAGAGCACCAGCAACGTGTGAAATCGTTTCAGGGTTTTCACACTAAGCTTGCTCTGGAGGTGACTAAAAGCTGCAGTTCCCTGGGCTCAACCGCCCAGGGGCCAGCATCAGCTTCCACATGGAAGTCACAGCACTGAGCACAGCAGCGCCCCACACTGTGCAAACAAGCCCGTGCAGAGGAAGTCAGAAGCAGGACATTTGTGATCACTCAGACTCTGGTTTGAAGTATGACCTGGCATGGCGTCTGAGCCTCCTGCCGCTCAGATTTCTCATCTGTACAATGGGGCTCCCCCTCCTCACCGCAGAAGTCGCTGTGATGGCTAAATGAGACTGAAGACACTCGGGACTCATCCTGGCCCCCTCCAGCCTCTCACCTCACGTAGATGCCAGGCCCGCACAGTGCCGTCCGAGGACGCGGTGCACACCACAGACTTCTCCCGCCTGTCAAAGCAGTACTCGCTGGGGGAGACGTAGGCCAGCTTCGCTATCTCTCCTGAAAGAGAACACACTTGCCTCAATCCCTTTCTGTCTCCTCAGCACAACAGGCGCGAATTGGGAGACAGCGGTGGACAGAAAGGGCTAGGCCTTAAGACTTACAACTTGGGTTGCATGCGCAGGACTGCCCACAGCCTGCCAGCCCCATCACCATGAAATAGATGCAATGACCCCCTGCCCCCAGGGTTACAGTGACTGTCAATGACTTAACACACATGTTGCACCCAGCATGGAACGTACCCGTCAAGTGGCATTTTCCAGCCCACTGGCTCAAACACAAAATGCCAGGGGACGGGACCAGGGGAGTGAGTGGTGGGAAAGCGTGCAGCTACCACACTCCCAACGCCTTACCTTTGTGCCCGGCAAGGGCTTTGCAGACAAAGTCCTTCTCTGGCCGCCCGGACTGCATGCGGAAGTCCAACTCAGATCGGCAGAGGTAGTACTGTTTCCATGTCTGTGTGCCCCGCGTCACCTGGGAGTCTTTACAGGAGGACCAGCGTCTCAGGCACAGCTGCCTGCAAACAGACCACAGGCCCAGGCAGGACAGGACGGTCATCAGAAAGCACTGTGGTACCTGCAGGCCAGGCTCTAATCCCCGGCTTCACCATCTCACTATGCCTGTGCAGACCACATTTCCCCTACTGTTAAAGGGGGAAATGGTGAGGTAACAGGGAGTGTGTACTACTGTGAGGTACAGTGCTTTGTGTGTATCCAGCCCATCTGCAGGACAACTCTGTGAATTAGATTAGGTCCTGATTGTCATTCTGCCCGAGGACAGAGGGGCAGACAGAGGTAAACACTTACCTAGGGTTATGCAGCCATGACCATTCCAAGGCTCTGCTTATTTTGAAGTATCTAACTCTTACTATTGAATTGTCTATCTTTTTCTTCAATTCTGTCAGCCCTTCATGTATTTTGATGCTGAAAGTAGGTGCATATATGTTTATAAATCTTATTTTTTATTGCTTTCCAAGAGGACGGGGGGGGGGGGGGAAGAGAAAAAGAGAGAGAGAGAGAGAGAGAGAGAGAGAGAGAGAGAGAGAGAGAGAGAGAGAGAGAGAACATCAATGATGAGAGAGAATCATTGATTGGCTGCCTCCTGCACACCCCATACTGGAGATGGAGCCCACAATTTGGGCATGAACCCTGACTAGTAATTGAATCTTGACCTCCTGGTTGGGTCAACACTCAACTGCTGAGCAAAGTTGGGCTGTTTATAAATTTTAGATCTTGATGGATTAACTTGTACTTTTTGTCTTAAAATCTGCTATTAGGTTGGCCATTCCAATGCTCTTTTGATTACTGCATAGTATATCTATTTCCATTCTTTTATTTTCAACCTGAGCCTATGAATCTAAACTGTGTTTATTATTGACAGAATAAAGTATTAATCCCTTCTGCCAATCTCTGCCTTTTTATTGGAGTATTTAATCCATATACTAACAAGATAGTATTTACATATGTTATTTACTTATTTCTATATTTCTATGCATTTTTTCCTTCTCATACTCTATCACTATCTTCTTTTATATTAAATTTTTTTAGTGTCCTATTTTAATTCCCTGTTGCTTTTCACACCATAGTTTTTTGAGTTCATAGTTTTTGGAAATTACTATTAAGATATTTATCTTTTTTTAATAATTTAAACAAATTTTTTTTCTCTTTTTGTTAATCCTTACCTGGGTATACTTTACCCATTGATTTTTAGAGAGAGTGGAAGGGAGGGAGGGGGAAAAAGAGAGGATAGACAGACAGACAAAACACCGATGTGAGAGAAACACATCAATTAGTTGCTTCCCGCATGCTTCCCAACCAGGGCTGGAGATTGAACCTACAACCATGGGCCCTTGACCAGGAATTGAAACCACGACCCTTTGGTGCTTGGGCCAATGCTTTAAATAATGAGTGACACTGACCAGTCACTCATTATTTACATTTTATTTACATTGAAAAACTAATTTATAACAATCTAGTTTTAATAATTACTGAATTTCAACAGTATTCAAAAACTTTGCTCTGGTATAGCTCCATTTCTTGCCCCCTCATTCATGCTGTTATTATCATACAAATTATATCTTTATACATCATGTACCCAAAAGGAATTTACAGCTATTGGTTTATGCAGTCTTTTACCTCACCTAGGAGAAAGTTATAAAAAAATAAGTTTACACTGCCTTTTATGTATGCCCGTGTAGTCACGTTATGGTACTCTGTATTTCTTCATGTGAATTCAAGTTCCTATCTAATGTCCTCAACCTGAAATACTCCCTTTAGTATTTCTTGTAGGGCAAGCTTACAAGCGACAAACTCTCTGAGCTTTTGTTAAATCTGGGAATGTCTTAATATTCTCCTTCATTTTGCTAGATACAGAATTCTGTGTGAGTCTTTTTTGTTCCATTTGTAATCTCACTGCCGCTGGGCTCTATGTGTTTTATACGAGAAGTCAATTTTAATCTCATTGGGGTCCCTTATACATGATGAATTGTTCTCTCTTGATGCTTTCAAATTTCACTGATTTTGGCTTTCAAGTTTGATTATGTGTCTCAATGGGAAACTCTTTGAGTTTATCCTACTTGCAGTTCATTGAGCTTTCAGATGTGTAAATTAATAATGTTCATCAAATTTGGCAAGTTTTAAGCCATTACTTCTTTAAATACTTCCCTTTTCCTTTCTCCTATCAATCTTGGACTTCTATTATGCATTGAGGGTACACCTAATGGTGAGCCAAAGGCTCTTGGGCAGTACTCATCTTTTTTTTTCACCTTTACGTTCATTCTCTTCCTCAGACTGAATAATCTGACCTAACTTCAAGTTCACTGATTCTTCTGCCTGCTCCAAACTGCTCTTTAATTTTTAATTTGTATTTTTGTACTTATCTACTCCGTAATTTCTATTTAGTTATTTTTTTGTAATTTTCTTTATTGATAGTCTCTATTGAATAAGATATTGTACCACTAATCTCCTATAGTTCTTTGGGCATACCACTGACCCTTGAACAACGTGGGTTTGACCTGCACAGAGCTACCAAAAGCAGATTTTTTAATATATTTTTATTGATTTAGAGAGAAAGGAAGGAAGAGGAAGATAAATAGAGAAACACTGATATTTGACCCTGACCAGGGATCAAACACGTAACCAGGTAAGTGCCTCACCCGGGAAAAACTACTGGTGACCTTTTGGTGCACAGGATGATGTCAACCAACTGAGCCATGTCGGCCAGAGTTATAAGCAGATTTTTTTCAATGTTCAGTACTATTAATGTAGTTTCTGTTCCTTATATCTTATTTTCTTTTCTCTAGCTTACTTTATTATAATGATATAGTATATATAATGTACAAAATATGTTAATCAACTGTTTATGTTATTGGTAAGGCTTCTGGTCAACAGTAGGTATAAGATTTTTGTCCAGTCTCTTCCTGCATCCCCCACACCCCTTTCTCCCTAAGGATTGTTAGTCCACTCCCTTTCTATGTCCCTGGTTCTATTATATTCATCAATTTATTCTGGTCATCAGATTTTTTATTCACTTGATTTTTAGATTCACTTGTTGATAGATATGAATATGTTGTTCATAATTTTTATCTTTACCTTTTTCTTCTTCCTCTTCTTAAAGAATACTTTTCAGCATTTCATGTAATACTGTTTTGGTGGTGGTGAACTCCTTTAACTTTTTCTTGTCTGTGAAGCTCTTTATCTGCCCTTCAATTCTGAATGATAGCTTTGCTGGGTAGAGTAATCTTGGTTGTAGGTTCTTGCTATTCATCACTTTGAATATTTCTTGCCTCTCCCTTCTGACCTGCATAGTTTCTGTTGAGAAGTCTGCTGACAGTCGTATGAATGCTCCCTTGTAGGTAATTAACTGTTTTTCTCTTGCTGTTTTTAATATTCTTTGTCTTTTGCTCTTGGCATTTTAATTATGATGTGTCTTGGTGTGGTCCTCTTTGGGTTCCTTTTGTTTGGGGTTCTCTGCACTTCCTGGACTTGTAAGTCTATTTCTTTCACCAGGTGGGGAAGTTTTCTGTCATTATTTCTTCAAATAGGTTTTTAATATCTTGCTCTCTCTCTTCTTCTGCCCTCCATAATTTGGATGTTGGTACACTTGAAGTTGTGCCAGAGGCTCCTTACACTATCTTCATAGTTTTGGATTTTTTTTTTCTTTTTGCTTTTCCAGTTGTGTGTTTTTTGCTTCTTTGTATTTCAAATCTTTGACTTGATTCTTGTGATCCTCTAGTCTGCTACTGGATCTCTGTATATTATTTTTTATTTCAGTCAGTGTATGCTTAATTTCTAGTTAGTCCTTTTTCATATCCTCAAGGGTCTCACTAAATTTATCAGCCTTTTCTAGAAAATTCTTATAACCATGGTTTTGAACTTTATATCCAGTCATTTGCTTTGCTCCATTTCTTTCATTTGTGACCTGTTTTTTTGTCTCCGCATTTCGGACACTTCCCTGAGTTGACAGAGTGGCTTTGTGTGCTAGGTGTCCTATAGGGCCCAGTGGCTCAGCTTCCCCAGTTACCTAAGGTGGACACTCTTGGTGTACCCCTTTGTGGGCTGTGTGCATAGTCTTGTTGTAGTTAACCCTTGATTGTTGTTGGTAACACTGGAGGAATTGACCTCTAGGCCAACTGGCTGTGAGGATCAGCACAGCTGGGAAAACTTCTGTGCTGGAGACACCCTTATGAGGCAAGACTTGCTTCAGTGGGACTTTGGTGCCCCTGAGTGTGTCCTTTATGGATCTGAGGAGTTGTAATCTGGATGATCCCACTCTGACCCCTGGGTACACTGGCTCTTGGATCTCCAAGGAGGTGCTAATTTAGCCTCAGCCTGAGGCCACCCAGCAGGAGCTATGAAGAGATCTGCAGATTCTTCTTCTCTGTTTGGGTTTCGGAGGTGCCCAGATGAGGCCCAGCTGTGAAGCAACGCAAGCTGCAGTGGGGTCTTGGGCCTTCTTTTGGATGTTCTGGGTCTCACTGACTCAGCTGCAGCTTGACAGGTAAGTTTAGAATTCAAAGGACCAGGCCATTCATATGCAAAAGCCTCTGCACTCAGCTTGGATGGGGTGGAGTCTAAGGGTGGAGCAAACAGCAATGGTTTCCCATCAGCCCTGCCCTAAGATGGTGCCGGGTCACAGTGTCCTGCAGTAATCACTGCAAGCACCTCTGGGAGAAAGCCACCTTCGAGTTCCACCTGCTGCCAGACAGTAGTTTCTCCTCATATGTTGTCTGGGTCCCCAGAGTGTCACCCGGAACTTGAGTTCAGAGCAGTCGGGAGCTTGTGTCTCCCTGGCTTGAAAAATCCAGCCACATATTCAGTTGCCAGCCCTCTCCTCGCACACCTCCCCCTCCGCACGCGTGCCTCTGTATCTCTGCTGTCCGCACCTCCTCTGAGTCTGTGTGCTTTTTTCTTTCCTTCTAGCTGTAGAATTTCCACACAGCTAGTCTTCCTGTGGTTCTGGATGATGTCCCTTTTGTCTTTTAGTTGTAGTTTTGAAGTTGTTGAGGCAGCAAGTTCAGGTGTTTACTATGCTGCCATCTTGGTTTCTCCTTATTTAAGTTCTAATATCACACATGCCTATATAGCTATGTTGTTATATCAGAGATGATTGAAAATAAAAGTGGTTTAGTTGTCTGTTGATTTGTCTACTATCATGTGTTCATTTGCTGTGTATTTATTCCCCTGAGTTTGGTACTCCTGCCTTCTATCAACCTCCAACTCAATTAATAAAATCTCTTATATTTAGAACATTATAAAGAAAAGTCTCCTGCCCCAAATAAAGAGCAGTCTCATGCTGGTAGGGGCTATTACTTCTTGTATATTCAATAGACCCAGAAACATAGTGTATACTCAAAAAAATTAGTGTAAGTTTTTTTGAGCTGCTGACTGAAATATACTTAGTTATGCCTCAAATGGAAATTCCTGCCCAGCTTATCAGCAGAGATGAGAACAAAGACTAGGGTTGGGTTCTTCCCTATTTTAACAGGTGAACATTATATACCAATCTCCCCTTTTCAGACACTGTCCCAAACACATTTGGCTCTTCTTTAATTCACTCACCTCCACAATTCCTTGGTCCCTGAAACCTCATTCCAGACCTATTAACAAGAGAAGAGAGAAAAGAATAGCTGTTCAGTCACCATGCAGTTAGCACTTAGCCTGCCAGGCCCTATGAAGGGAAGAGCTAAATCAGACTCAGTGCCTGCACTCATGAAAACTCCTCCTGGGACATCTATACTTAAAATAGCCTAGGTGGCCCTCACCTCTCCCGCGATGCCCTCACGTCGTCACAAGATGGCTGCCCCGACGTTGTCACAAGATGGCCACCACAAGATGGCCAGCAGGGGATGCAGCTGGGGGTGACCAGGCCTACAAGGGAGGGCAGTTGGGGGAAACCAGGCCTGCAGGAGAGGGCAGTTGTGGGGGACCAGGCCTGCAGGAGAGGGCAGTTGTGGGGGACCAGGCCAGCAGGGGAGGGCATTTGGGGTCAATCAGGCTGGCAGGGGAATGTTTAGGGGGCAATCAGGCTGGCAGGCAGAAGCAGTTAGGGACAATTAGGCAGGCAGGCGAATGGTTAGGAACCAGTAGTCGTGGATTGTGAGAGGGATATCCAACTGCCGGTTTAGGCCGGATCCCCTGAGGGGTCCCAGATTGGAGAGAGTGCAGGCTGGGCTGAGGGACAACCCATCTTTCTTCTCTCCCCTTCCCTCCCCCTCACACACACACCACTGTGCATGAATTTCATGTACTGGGCCTCTGGTATTGAAATAGAAACCACCAAATAAGTGAGAAAGGAGAGAATGACCAAATCAGTGCAGCCAAGGGGTTCAGAAATGAAATGATTACTGATCAAGTCCCAAAGGATGGGTCATTGCACTTTAAGAGAATGGCTGAAGCATTCCAGGGAGAGACAGAACCACCTGTGCAAAGATTCAGATGAGTGACAGCAAGTAATTTGCCTTAATTAGAACATAAAGTTCTGGGGAAAGGAGCTGAAGACTAATTCCTGGAAGTCATAATGGCAAAAAGAGTGTTACACTACTTGAGAATTGTGAATGGAGAGTGGTGTGTCAAACTGTTTTAGGAAAATCACTCTGGCTGCTGTGAGAAGGAATGATTGGGAACAAGGGCACAGGTTATAAGAGGGCTGCTGCGATGGAGTAAATGAAGGCACTGGCCCCAGGGATGCCAAGATGCTAAGATGGTGGAATGGAACCGCTGCCAAGGGGAGGCCTCCATATGGGCCCTGGTCTACAAAGTGCCCTCAGCAGAAGCTCTGGAAGAGGCTCAGGTGGCATGTGGAAGGCCCACACCTGCATTCTGGAACTCCCTGGCCTCTGCCACCCTGGATTCTGGAGCCTACATAGCTTCACTGGGAACTACTGTGGAAATTTCTGTGGCCCAGGCCCACTGAGGGTCCTATCCCAGAAACGTAGCTTTCCAGGCCCTGGAAGACACGACGGCCGCCCATCTGAGCCCAGGCTCCATTTTTACAGCCCTTGCTCACCTAAGTCAAAATATCTCAGCCCTTAAGAAGTCTTTTGGGCCATATCCAGTTGTGGGTTCAATCCCAGATTGGGGCACATATGGGAGATAACCAGTGTTTCTCTTACATTGATGTTTCTCTCTCTCTTCCCCTTCCTCTCTCTCTAAAATCAACAAAAACGTATCCTCAGGTGAGGATTAAAGCAGGTAGGAATGTAATGTTTGTACTTTACAAAATCAAACCAGCCAAGAAAATGTATCCATTTCCCTTTTCTATAGTTCCCAGTTCAAAACACTACTGAGATCTTGTTTCTCCTAACCCTGGCCTTAACTGTACACCCTGAGGCAGGGGTTACTGACCTCACTTTACCTAACAGGGGATCTACAACTTGGGATGTTGGTGCTGTAAAAAAGTCTAGGGCACACCCCTTTCAAACTCGGCTTCTGTGGAAGCAGCCAGAGGTGCAGATCCCTCCCTGTGTGGGACCACGTGGGCGTCCTGGAACTGAGATACTCACCTTAGTGGTGAACACGGGGTTAAAAAAACACTATTTTACTTGACACATTTAAAATTATAATTATAGGACTCAGGTAATCATCTGTTTATTAATCTTTTTGTAAAAATAATCATTTTAAAACTTACTCAACAAATACTTATTGAGAGTGTGATAGGCAGTGGGACAGACAAGAGCAGGCAGGGACTAAGGGCCAGGTACAGAAGGTCGTAGCGCCTGACAACTGCAGGGTGGGCCCTCCTCCCCAGGGTGACTTTTCCTCCCCTAGCATTTCCCTGGTCATGTGGTTTGGCCCCCCTGGTCTTTCATATCTCTGGGCACTTGGTTTAGATCCCTGCCCCTAACTTTTCCTCCCTCGAGACAACATCTAGGCCTTAGCAGCTAAGTTAGCTGTATTTAAGCTCCAGGCCCAGAAAAGCAACAAAACCAGATAAGCAACAGCAGGGCTGACCTCGGGACCAGCTGCATTGCATACTGATCACCTGCCCTGGTGCCATCCAATCAATCACTGGAGACCCCGACCCTGAAAGGACGGACATGAAAAGCTGCTGACTATTGCCCTGAGTTATTCCCCTGGAATCTCCCCTAACACCTCCCCGCTTAAAACCTGAAGGAGGACGCTCCCTCCAGGGAGCACATTTGAGCTTTTCTTTCCCTTTCCCAGGCCCCCAGGTGTCACTTTACCATCCTCACTTCAAAGCTTCAAGGGCCCTTTCTTTGCCTCTACCTACTAATTACTTACTCTATCTCTGTGCTTTTCTAAGTAAATTTTCTCTTATAGTTTGAGTCTTGGCTGTGAATTCTTTCCTAGCCAGAACTCAAGCACCGAGGTTGCCGAATCCAGGTCCAGTCTCACCACCGCCGCCAAGAGTCTGTGATGTAAAAGACAAAACCCCTGTTCTTAGGAATGAGTAACGGGGAGAGCAGTTACCAAATAAACCCTACAAACAAGCGCTTCTAGCTGTGCCGAGTCCCAGGAAGGAGGAGTTGAGTGCAGGCATCACCAGGGATGAAGCCCAGGCGAGACTAGCGCACTCCATGGGAACTTAGCACAGCCAGGCAGTGTGCGGGCTCCAAGGCTGCAGAAAAACAGGAAGAGGTCGCCCCCTAGAGGAAGGGCTAGGGGCGTGGCTTTTCGGGCTGAGCCAGTGAGGAAAATTCCAGACAGAAAACCGCTCCCTAAACTAATCTCTGGAGCAAATCCAGATGTAAGCGCGCGGGTGGTCGGTAGGCAGGGAGGGGGCCTTTCCGAGCGACTTTTCCAGCGGCCGCGGCAGCAGCCACCTTACGGGCCCAGGGCGCCCTCTGCCGGTCACAGATTCCAGTCGCCGAAAGCCCCACCCCGGACGGGGAAACGGGACCGAGAAGGGCCGCCTTGGGCACTCAGGGGCCACGTCCCCAGCCCAGATGCGCTACCTTGTCCACCTGGGCGGCACGGAGCAGGTCTCGGGCCTCCAGGAAGGAGAAGACGTGCAGCAGCTCGTGTATGCCCAGCTGCGGCCCCATCGCTTCCGCAGTCCCGGGCCCGCCCCGCTTCCGCCCCGTGGGCCAATCCCCGCCCGGCCCGCCTCTGCGGTCCCGCCCCGGGCAGAACCCGCCCTGCTAGCCGCGCATGCGCCTCGCTAAGCCAATCCGGGACCCGTCCGCCGCTCCTCGCGGCTCCTCCCGCTGCGCTGCGGCCGCGCTAATGCCGCTCCCTGGCCCTGGAACTGCCTCTGACGCCACCTGGTCCCCCCTTTGCCCTGAACCTCATGCTGACACTCACAGACCCTCGCCGATCCCCTTCTAGTAACATCCACCTCGTCCTCACCTTCCCTGGACCTTACAGTGGCCCCGAACCTGCACCTCTGGACCCCTCGCTGTGGTGCTGGCCCTGCACCGTGGTCTCACCCCTTACCAATAAGTGTCCAGTCCTCCACCTCCACCTCACCCCGCCCCTCTAAACCTAACCTTTGACGTGGCCCTCTCACCTGGTTCATACCTGGCCTTCACTCTGGCCCTGGTCCTGCCATGTGCCCTTATCCTGACCCTCTTCCTCAACTTTGCCCTCTCATCACCCTAGTCCTTATTAGCCCCTTGTTCCTTCACCTAACCCTAATCCTGACACCCTCACCCTGAACTTCATCCTGGCCCTGACCCTTACTTTCACAATGACCCTCAGCCTCTCTCTTAACGTTGGCGCTGGTGCTTGCCCAGACCCTAGCCCTAACTAAACCTCATGCCTTCCTTATCATGGTCCCTAACCAGGTCCTCACCCTTGCCTTGGGCCCTAACCTTGAACTTCACTGGAGACTTGATCCTGGCCCGGGCCACATCAAATCAGTTAGTGTAAGGGTGAAGGTCATGACCAAGTTCAAGGTCAGAGCAGGTCAGAGTCATAGGATGAATGTAAGATGAGGGACAGAGTAATAAGGGTCAGAATCAGAGTGAGGGCAAGTGTCTAGTTCAGGGTAAAATTCTGTATCAAGTTAAGGATCTGGATGAGAAAGAGGTGTCAGAATCAGGTTCATATCAGTGTAAGGGAAATTTTAGGGCCAGGGTGTTTAAGTTCAAGATCATGAACAAGGTCAGGACCAGGATCAGGTTGAGTGTCCATTAGAGGATCGGTGAGAGGCTGGAGGTCAGGGGGTTATTTTCAGGGTGAGGTAAGATTAAGAGTTGTGCTTGAGTTGACAGTGAATGCCCAATTCTGTGTAGGATTCAGGATTCAGGTGAGGCTGATATTCAGGATAGTTAGGGTCAGTATCAGGTTATGGGTCCAGATCAAGGTTAGGATAGTCAGTTCAGGGGGAGCATAATGTTCATTGTCAAGGTCAATTAAGTCAATGTGGGGTTTGTTTTTTATTGCTGCTGGAGTTCAGACCCCATACCTTCACTTCTCTCTTGTGTATATACCCACCTGGATAATCTAAGATATTCTTCCCTTGTCAAGGTCTGTATGCTTAATCACATCTGCAAAGCCCTTTTGCTACATAAGGCAACCTTTTCATAGGTTAGAACATGGCATCTTTGAGGGATGAGCATTATTGCACCTACCAGTTATTGTCAGGTTTAAGGTCAGGATGGGTCAAGACATGGTCATTGACCACGCTGAAGATGATGGTCATCATGATGGTCAAGTTTGATTTCATGGCAAGTTCACAGCCAAGTGTGAGTCCAGGTTCTGCTCAAAGGTCAGTGTTAGGATGAGGATCAAGGTCAGGGTGAAATTGAGGTTTGTGTTAATGTCAATGTAGGATCAGGGGCCCGGTAAGGTTTGAAGTGCAGACTAGTTTCAGTGTGAGTGGTTCAAGGTCAGGCTCTATGGTTAGAGTGGATGACTATGATGGTCCTTGTTAAGATGAGAATTCAGTCTAGGGGTAGAGATAGAGTGAAGTTGAGTCACAATCAGATTAAGTGTAGTAAGAGTATCATTCATGATAGTGTTGAGTCATGACCAGTGTAACAGTCACTGTCAAAGGTAAGTCAAGGTCAGGATAAGTATGACAGCCATGTTAAGCATCAGGATCAGGGTCATGATGAGGATCAAAGTATGAATGCCAATTAGAGAGGGTCAATGTTATTGTGAGAGTGATGGGGAAGTTCATGAAAAAGGTTAAGTTCTATGACAAGTGGGGTCAGAATTATGGTAAGGGTCACAGTCAATGCCAAGATCAAGGTCAGGTTTAGGTAAGGGTCTGACAATTGGGTGAAGGTGAGTATATATGTCAGTCAGGGTGATGAATAAGGGTCAGGACAGAGTTCAAGGTCAAGGTCAGGGTGGGTTAAGGTTTAGGGTCTTATGTGGGTGGGGCTGCTTGAGGGTCAATGGTCAAGGGTATGGATAAAAGTCCCCATTTATATGGAGGTGAGTTAACAGAAATTGAGCTAGACATTCTGACACAGATGTGGCTGGAGAAAACAGGCAGAGGCCAGATCCTGAAAACATCTTTAAAGACATATGAGATGGTCACTTTCCCCTCCAGAAAGCAACAACGAGTTTGTGTTTCACATTCCCTCTAAAAGCAGAGGTGGCAGTGCTAGTCACCTCTGTCCTCAGTGCTTAGTTTATTCACATGGGACACAGAATGAATATCTATACTATAATAATATGCAAATTGGCCAGGATGCCCTCGCAGAAACGAGAGCATTGGGCTGCATTGGGCGACCAGGCCAGCAGAGGGTGCGATGACCCACGTCCCGCTTGGTTCAGGATTCGGGCTCTGGAGAAGGGCCTTATGCCGGTGACAGAAACTAGACAAGAAATAATAATTTGGAAATTGGGGGGACCAGGCAGGAGCCCAATGCAACAGGAAGGACTCTACTTGTGCTCAGGCCTTGCCATCTTTTATTCAATTTGGGATACAGCCATAGCCCTTAGGCAGGCAATTCCAGCAACAAACAGACTATTTTATCAGTAAGGATTTACAAGACTACCTGATCAGGAAATTGCTTCAGTTTCCATTTGGTGCATAGCTCTGACCTTTGCCTGGGCTCAAGGGTCACCAGCATTCCGGGCTCCTTGTCCACACCTCTCTGCTAGTGAAGACAAAGGGCAGCTTCCAACAGGGGGGTTAGTGAGGGACAACCAAACAACTGAACAGCAGGCTGCATGGGGCAACCAGGTTGGCAGGGGGGCAGTGAGGGGCGAGTAGGCCAGCAGGGCACAGTGACCAGGCTGTGGGGAGCGGGCCTAAGCACCAGTAGGACATCCCCTGAGGGCTCCTGGGCTGTGAGAGGGGCAGGTTAGGCTGAGGGACCACCCCCAACCCCCAGTGCATGGATTTTCATGCACTGGGCCTCTAGTTTTAAGAATAAAAGATTACTAAGAATAAATTTCTCTAATCTGCCTGTTTTTATCTATCCTTAAACCAACACCACTGTCTCAATTATTACAGCCCTCTGACAAGTCTTGGTATCTAATAGGTAAGCCCTTTCACTATTCTTATTTCTACTTCCTTTCAACACTTACATTTCCATATATTTTACAACTGTCTTACCAAATTATTAAATAAAAAAAACAAGAGCCAGATGGAATTGTATTGTGATTTATTGAGTTAACAAATGAGTTTCAGGAATGCCTGTCTCCTTCTTCTCTAAGGAAGATGGCACACTGATTCTGGCTCACCCTTCGCCAAAAGTGGAGATTGTCTGTAAACCAGATTAAGGTGTTTGGTTCACAACCTGAGCCATACTTGGGCCTGGACTTCTGCCAGGTCACCTCCAAATGGAAGGCCGTCGTGTAAAGCCCCTAAGAAGCCCCCAAAGTTAGAGTGGCCGTGAATGGGGTCACTTTCCCAGCCACCAGAGGAGCGAAGACCAGGGAGGGTGCCACCTCGGCCACTTCCCTTGATAGGGATGGAAGAGAGGCAGACACCAGGCAGAACTCCTTGGGGTTTTTTTTAATAAATCTCAAAACTGAAGTCGTGTTTAACATCCTTGAAAAGAAAAGCAAACCAAACCTCCCTTCCCCCTTGGGTTTCTGAATTGAAGACATCTCACTCGGTGCTCACCAGGCCAGAAAGACAGGGCCTGGAGCAGCAGCACCACGGCCAGCACGGTAGTGGGCGCACTGCCCCTTTCTGATGGTATGTCAGCCTCGGGCCTCCATCTCTGCTGGGGCTGGACATCCTCATTGCCTGGCTGGGACAGGACCAGGTAAGGAGTGAGCCCAGTGTGGCTGTAGTGTGGCTGTGAGTTGAGTGAGACTGGAGCTGAAGGACAAGAGGCTCTGGAACACAGGCCAGTGGGGCCTGGCCCAGCATCTCAACTCTCCGGGATGAAGGGCCGAATCAGTTCTGGGTTCAACAGCAACTCCTCGAGGGGCCGGTCCACATGGAAGTCATGGACGTTGGGAGGCCCTGGGTGGGCCTTTGGGGCCAGTCCCCCCGGGCGCTGGGGAATTGGCAGCTCCGAAGGGTGGGCAGGCAGGGGAGCTGTAAAGAAGTACTGGTGCAGGAGGGCCTGGGGGTGACAAGAAGGAACAGCTTATAGAAACCAAACCTTCCCTGTCCCAGCCTCAGCTCACTTCCCGAGCCAGGGAGACAGTGCTGCCCTGCGGGGCTTGCTCTGTCACCCGCTCATCTGACTCACTTCTGAGTGCTGACTGAGCACGGCTCCAGAGGCTGGGGGTGCACAGACCTCCGCGTGCTGGGAGTGGGGGACATAAACAACATAGAGAAGAAGAGAGTCAGTGTGTCAAATGCCTAGTGCTGAGGAGGTGCAGGCCTGCAGCAGTGGATGAGGCCCTGGGATGGCACTGAACAAAGACGAGAGAGGAGTACGTGAAGCCCGAGGACGGAGTGCACAGACCCTAGGTCACAGAGGGAGCCCTGGTGCCAGAGAGGGTTCAACAGCAACTCCTCGAGGGACCGGTCCACGTGGCGGTCACGGACACCGGGAGGCCCTGAGTGGGCCTTGGGGGCGAGTCACAGGCAGTCACAGAGGTAACAGCCGCAAGCCCGTGACTCCTGTGGGCCAGCAGGGCCTGGGCTCTCCTCTGAGGGAGCTACACGGGAGGGCCCTGCAGAGGGTGGGCTGGCTGTCAGCACAAGGTCAAGCCCTCTGCCGGGTGGGAGGACAC